ACATCATCTTATGCCAACACCGCAAGGCCAGATGGTCATGGCTGGCGCGACGAATCAGAACACACGCAGAAGATTTATTGATTTTTCTGTACATTTAAATTTTACGGCGGAACCCTGTGCGCACACAAACTGCATCTGCTACTATTCTGTGACTATGTCTCTGTAGATGAATCCGAGATGGATTTCTAAACGTCAGGCAAATAAACACAGTGTCCCAGCGATCGAGTTGCCTTCTACTTCCCAATACCTGACATGTAATTTTGGATCTTTTCCAAACATATGGTTCAACTTGCTGCTCTTAAATGCAAATTTAAATGGCGTTTTCATTCATATGATCTGATATCAACGTGACCCTGCCTCCAAGAAGGTTTTACTCTGTTATCACCTCATTAATTTTTAATGATTGTCAGAAATTTTTTCCCGCATCTGTATATCGAAGGAAATGTGTTCCTTTAGTATATATGCGGCTTCAGGTACCAATATGGGTCACTTGAACTTTTCCACAATTTATTTTTACTAGTCAGAGACTTATGGACTGATTTCATCTTATCTTTCTTAGCCCAGTTTGCATGCACCACTACGGTTGTACATGATTTGCGGAATCGGAAATAAACAAAGATCCTTTGGAAAAAGTATTCTAGGTAGAACTCTGCCGTGACTTAAATTACTGTCAAATAATCGGTATCAAGTAACATATTTTTGTAAATCTACTTAATAAATTAACGAAGGGGTGGGGGGTACTACGGAGTTCGATTCAATGTGGTGATTGAATTGAAATTTGGCCTGATTAAATGTTTTTCAAAGATGCCATAAAATCGCGTTTTGGAAAGCAATGTTAAACAGTTTTACCTCTTCGTTCTCAAACCGATCATCATGCATATTTAGTAAGCCTAAGAATAACATTTATTCCCATTTTCTTAATTCGTGACTTTTCCCTTCCAGTTATAATGTTCCTAAATTTACACAGTGTACATAGAATACACTGCATATCTTAAAAACGTTTTCCTCAGTTACAAATAATCGCTATTGTTCATGAACTTTATATAGTTAAAGCTGGCTTCGAAACTGAGTAATGAACCCAGTTTTTGTTGGGCGGGCGAACTGACGCTTGCAATGGCCCTCGGTGAAAATGTCATTCGTTTTTGGGATATATCGAAGTCGGACAATTATACGCTAACTCCCAGCCTGCCGGCCACTGCCGACCAACAGAATTCCGTTCGAATTACCCGGATCGCATTCTGCCCGAAATTTAGTACGTTTTGTTCATTTTCCCAATTCTTGGCGTTTTTACTGACTGCATGTTTTGGGGAAGTATATTTAGAATCCATCCGCCTCTGACATCCACTGTCTTTGCAAAGCATTTGTTTTGTTGCGCACTAACATGATATCCCGATATTCCTTTAGATATTTTCTCCTTTTTAGAACTGCTTGCTGCTGGTTTAACTAATGGTCAAATCGCAATCTGGCGGAAGGTTTCAACTCCAAAGCATCCCAAAACCACACCACTGGATGCGGAACAACGTAGCCTCTCTTCCACTGCCGGCTCTCTTACCGCTGAGACTGGTTCTGCTGTCTTTGAACCTGCATCACACTGGCATGCTCAACCCATCATTGATCTGCTAAGTAATCACGCCGACGAAAACCTGCGCGAGAGTGGCAACATCGCTGTTCGGCTGATTGCCTGGGATAATGTTGAGGGCAGAGTGCTTGCCGCCTACGATACGGCCGAGAATACAGATGAAGCTTGTGTGGGTGAGTGGTTTTCAGCTTTACGTTTTGACTTAAACGCACGAAGTATATGAGTTTGGAAAAAGGCGGCTGCTCATGTATCGCAATCGTTTCTGTATCTTCCCGAGTTTTCAAACGCGTGTAGCTGTTCATCTTCAGAGCTGAGAGCAGCAACCGAAGAAGATACTATAGTTCAGTATAGCTCAGTATATTTAGGGTAGTTGGCAATGCCTTTGATGATCCTATTGAAAACAGTATGCATGAAATATCCAACATAAAATATGTCACTATAAACATGAAATATCCAACATAAAATATGTCACTATAAACAGTGAGTAACATATATATATGAAATATGTCACTATAAACAGTGAGTAACATATATACATGTACAAATTTTAACATGTGCGTGTGAGCAGTCAGAATGCAGTGAGTAACATATATACATGTACAAATTTTAACGTGTGCGTGAGGGCAGTCAGAATTGTCTCTTGCGTACTTAATATATCCAACATAAAATATGTTACTGTAAAATAGTGAGTAGCATATGCAAATGTAAAGTTTTATCTATATGTATTTCCTAGGCGTAGATTATTTCTGCTTCCTTGTGCATATGAACGGTAACTGTTAAGTAGATGTTCATCCAGTTTCTGTTTAAATGCATCTGTGGAGTTCGCCATTACGACCTCTTCGGGCAGTCCATTCCAAGCACCGATGACTCGTTGTGAGAACGACTGCTTGCGGACCTCTAGAT